ACTTGTGCTGCTACTTTTAAATTATTTAATAAGTTAACTAGCTTTAAAAAAGTTAAAAAAATATGTTACCTTTTACAAGGGTAATTTTGTTTAATCTCGCAATGGCTTTATATATATTAAAGGGATTTTTTTTTATTAGTTAATAAATAGTTAATAATAGGTCTTTTTTTTTATAAGCCTAATAATTAATAATAAAATAGGTAATAACACTATCTTACACCTTTTAGTTTTTATAAAAAATATTATAAATAAATAAATTATTAAGCTTCTAGGTATTAGGGCTAAGAGGTACTTTATAATACTAATATTAAAAATATTTTTAGGTTTTAAACTAAATATTAATAGCCTTATTAACCTAGTTTTTTATTACATATAAAATATAAATTTTTTTTAAGTAGGTTATTAATTATTACTATCCCAGGGTCTTTGTCTTTTAAATATAGATTTTTTTTTATAAATAGCTTAAGTAGGAGGTAAAATAATAACTTATTATAAATTATAATAAGTTACCTTTAATTATACTTTAATATATTATTTAACCTTTGTCCAGGCTAGTCTAGGGCTTTTAAAAAATAAGGTATAAGTTAAATTATAAATATATAATTATTATTTAACCCGGCTTAACTTAGTAATTTTTAAATTTTTAAAATTTTTTAAAAAATATTATTTTTTAAGATTTATAAGGGTACCCCCTTTACCTTTTAAAATATTTTTAAAGGTGCTATAGTTTATATAGCAGCTATTATATAAATAATAACACCTTTAAAAATAGTTTTTTTAAATAGCTATATTAGGCAAGTCTTTTTATTATTTTTATATATTTTAGTTTATTTTTTAAAAATCTTATTAAGGCAGGTATGGTTTATCTTTTTTATTTTATTTTATAATACTAACTTATTTTTTTTTATTTTTTAAATACTATAATAATGTTAATATTTTTTAATAGCTTAATATATTTAATTTTTAATATATAAAAAAAGTTTTTTTTTAGCTTTTTTTTTTTTTTTTTTTTTTTAGCTATTATATTAAAAGCTGAAAACTTATGCAGGTATATTATATATTAAAAGGTTTAGCACCTTTTTTAGTTTTTTTAATATTTTTTTTTATAAATTATATTAATTATTATAGTATTTAAAAAGTATTTTTTACTAGGTTTTTTTTTTAATATACTTTTATATAAAAACTTTATTATTTAATTTTAGCCCTGTAAATTAGCGCACATACCTTTTTTTTAAAGTTAAAAGTAATATAGCCTAGCTAGATACTTATTTAGCTTTTTAGCTTTTTATTAAAACTATAAATATATTAAAATATAACAAGATTATATTTAGGTACTTATTTCTAGTAGTAGGCGGTATAAACATAGTAGTAAAAAAAAATAAGATTAGCAAAGTTTAAAAAGCCTTAATAAGCTTGCTTTTTAAATACCAGGCCTATAAAAAGCTATAATAAAAATAGTGGTATATAAGAGTATAGCAAGCTTAATTTTTTTTTTATTTACTAGTAACTATTAATAGTACTTGCTACCTATATATTTTAATGGTAATTAACTTGCTAACTTTTTAATTAACTATTTTATAATATTATTTTACCCCGCTATAACCAGCCCCTTTACTAAGCTATTTATGCTTTTTTATACTATTAAATAATAACTATATGTTAATAAGACTGGACTATATAGTTTTATATTATATAAATATTACTACTATATTTTATAGTTATAAAATACTATTAAAATAGTTTGTTTATTTTTTATAAATTAAAATTAGGGATGTTTGCTAACTAAATATAGATTTATAAAATAATCCACTACTTTAAACTTTATTTATTATTAAGTCTAAAATTTTACTATAATTATATTTACTTAATTTTTTATAAACATAAAATTTCTTTAAAAAATATTAAGCTAATTAATATATTTACTATTTTTTAGCTTTTTAACGCGGCAGCTTGTTTATAACACGCGTTATTTATAAATACCTAATTTTAGGGGATATCTAGCTAAAAATTATACTTTTATAATTTAATTTTTAACTCCCACAAGCTTAACTTTAATAAATTTTAAATTATATTTTTTTTTTTACTACTTAGGTACGTTTGCACCCCTTTAATTTACTTTAAATAACTAGACTTTTACTATAAAAATTAGTATTTAGCTAAAAATTATAAACTTTAATTAAAAATTATAAAGTTATACTAGTTTCCTGTTAATAGTTCTTTACTAATATAATCTTAAAATATAATTATTATATATTTATAATAAATTACTATTACATGTCTAGCTAATGTTTAGCTAATATCTAGCTAATATATAAGCTATATATAAAAATAGTTAATAAAAGCCTTAATAATTAAAAATAGTGTTAGCCTTGGATTAGCACCTTAGCTACTAAGAAATATTACTTTTTTTTATAATTAAAATTAATGCTAATACTATTTAATAGGCTACTAAATTTATACATGCTATAGCTAGAATTATTACTAATTATATACTAAATACCTAGGCTATATAAAATACTTATTAATTTACCATGGCTAGGCTTAAATCCTGGTATTATTTAAAACTTTAATTTAATAGCTAATAACCCTAGTAATATTCCAGGAATTAATAATATACTAGGGCTAATAATATAGGTATATAAAAAATACTAGAATTAAAATTAATAATTCCTTAAAGTAAGTAATACTATTAGTTTTTTAATAAAAATCTTAAAGTATAACTTAAGTTCCCCGCCTGTGTTTATATTAGCTATTTATATTAAATATTTAGGAACACCACCCGCTGGGCACCTGGAGGTTAAATAGTTAACTTTAGTAACTTTTATAACCTAAGTTACTAATACTAATAGGCCATAAATGTGCACGCAGCCTATATAACCTCTAAAGCTGTTTATAATATATTAGTTAAATAGGTAAGTTTATGTTCACGCCCGCCCACGGGCGCCCTATTACCTTAATACTATTATAACTTATGTAGCATTTGCAAATATAAAAGCTTTTAGCTAATAAATTAATTATAGATTATATTAAAGCATTGTCCTTTATTAAAAGTTATATTTTTTTTTTATAGTAAATTTTATAATAAATATGCTTGGATATAGATCCCTGCCACCTACTTTAGTAAAATAAGAAATAACTTAAAATAAAGCCTTTATATTAATTAGCTAGTAAAGCTGCTGCTACTTATAGGTTTTTATAAATTAGTTTAAGTAAGTTTACTATGTTTTATATTACTATTTTTAGCATAAATAAAGATTGGGCACCGCCCTTATATAAAAAACTTATAATTAGTTAAATAAACATAGTATATAAGTATTATAACTATAGTATTAGTAGCTTTATAAAGCCTGCGCTATTATTAATATACCTAAATAAGTAATAACTATTAACACACAGGGTAACAGTGCCACGGGCTTTAATAGCCAGCTAATACTTAAAGGCCATTTTTAATAGCTAAACTAAAATCTAATAAGTAAGCCAAAATTTAACAACTGGCCAACGCTCGGAGGCCACTTCTAATAGTTAAGTAAAAATTTAATAGGTAAGCTAAAATCTAATAGGTAAGCTAAAATCTAACAGCTAGCCAATGCTTAAAAGCCACTTTTAATAACTAAGTAAAAATTTAATAGGTAAGCTAGAATCTAATAGCCGGCCAACACTTAAAGGCCATTTTTAATAATTAAGCTAAAATTTAATAGGTAAGTTAAAATCTAACAGCTAGCTAATGCTTAAAAGCCACTTTTAATAATTAAGTAAAAATTTAATATTTTATTAAGCTAATATTACCTAATTATTTTAATATTAATTATAGGTAATACTGCCTAGTACTTTTAATATTTACTTTAGCTAATATTATATATTACCTATAATATTTTACTTAATTAATATTAACTATTTTTATCTAGCATCCTGTTTAAACAATATTAATTATATAATTTAATAATTTATTTAAATAATATTATTTAGTTAAGTTAATATTATGCCTAGCTAATATTACCTACTAGCTTAATATTATTTTTTATTAATATTATTTAGCTATATTAAATATTATAACTAACTAATATTACCTCGCGTTTTAATATTAGTTAATATTAAATATTATATACTTATTTTAATATTACTTTAATTTAATTATAAGATATGTCTAATTTTTTGCTAATATTAGGCTAACAATAACCTATTCAATCCCCGTCAAATTGCCGTTGGCCGGGACCCCCCGGAACCGGCATGGCAGGCGAGACTTGCGGTTGCGGAGGGGGATGCGAGGCTTGCGAGGTCGGATACATTCGTTTGATGGGAGGGGAGTTGTTTGTTATAGATTAATAGAAGATAAATATCATGTTTCCAACTTGGTATCGAAATTCATTGCCCACCTAGCCCCAGTAAAGTTTGCTTGCGGCCTGTCTCACACGGTGTAGATGGAGAGATGAAGGTCCAGTGACCAGCGGCTGAGTATCATAGCGGCTGCATTGTAGGGTAGAGAGAGTGCGTCGCCTCGAACGCGATGTGAGAGCAGGATTAATATTTCTCTGCCCCTGATCCGGCCCAGGCTAGCCTTGACAGTCCGCGTGAGGCCCATGCTTGGATGGAAGCAGATCTCTGATAGAGTTCGCTTGAGATCCTCGCTCAGTTTGCTGGATAGCGACAGTCTCCTGATCAAGTTATCTCTTTGTTGACAAGGCCACCATCAAGCACTTTGTTGACTGAAACGAACAAAGCATACCGTTGTATGGTTGGTAGCAATCTGAAGCGTAGCTTTGTTCCTCCATTGTCACCCTGATACATCACGAAACAGGACCTTTCTTTGTCAACTGACACAAATCAAAGCATGCGGATGAAAATAGCAATCCCTACAATGCGACGCCGTTTGTATCCTTGATGCTGGGAAATGGTGATTCTCCTTTTCAAGCGCACACTTCCCCACATTGAAGAAGATATATCGAACCGAACTTTATACAATATCCTGTATCCAGGCCTTCAAGCTCCTATATACAAGCAAGATGACAAAACCCACAACCCCCAGCACGTCTCCAACAACCACGAGCCCAACATCAAACAACCCAGCTACCCTCAATGAATATGCATTCGACGATACCCTGGACGACCCCTTCTTCTCCAAGACAAGCTTCCCCTCCGCTGGAATCGCAAGCGCGGATCCCGCGTCCGAAGAAACCACGCGAAATAGCAGGTGGCTTGCAGCACTCACTGAGAGTCCCGAGGTCTACGCAGCGGCTGATCAACTTGTAGTGGAGAGGAGAACATCCTCACTCCCATGTTCTCCATCTTCGCTGACCAGCCAGCAGCAAGTGAGCGTGACGCCGACCAGCAACAACAGCTCCGACAGCTCAGATGACACATCCAGCCCATCATTCAAGGACAAGGGCGAACTGCCCGCACGGCTCCGGCCAGAGTTATCCATCATCATTCCCGACTGGGCTGATGGCACGCCTATGCCGCGGACACTCAGTACATATGACAATAACAACACCCGATCGTCTTCCGCAGCGTTACGACGCCAGCGGGAGCTGGGTTATCTTTACAGCACGGCACAGGAAGATATCCTCCGCGAGGTACGGACTGCGCGGCGGGAGAATGAGGCCCTGAAGTCAGATATATTAGAGAACCAGAGGAAGCTTGAGATCGCAAAGAAGAAGATTGATATGCTGGCTGCCATGGTTCTGCGCGAACGCGGGGGTCTTTGAGGTTGCGAGGGATCGCGTTGCGGAAATGGAGGGGGCAAAGAGTGCTTCCACTCGCGATTCTAGTTCCGATTGTTAGAAATCATGGTCCTTTTTTACTATATACCCTCACAATAGACATTTCTGTCAGCCCATTCATTTCGAGCGGCCTTGGAGTAGGAATGTGTCAGAATGGTTAGCATATATTTCCATCGTTGGGACTCCATTTTACGACAAAAGCTGTTCAACCAAGTCTGAGGAGTTTTTCCGATTTGGTTAATCCCAAGTCCGGCAATTTGAAAGGCATTGTCAGTATCCAGGATCACAAAGAACAAAGACACGAAGTAAGCCCCTTGTCATGTAAAATGGAGCCCACAAACAAAGCATTATATAGCGCATCTACGGTATCCATATAAAAGGTCTCCATCCACTTATGCCTTCACATCCTAAAACCCATACGGAGCAGTGCAGTAACTCCTTCCTCTAGCTATGAACGTCAACAATGTTGTCCACTCCCTGGGGTATGGACCCAGCGCCCCTGTCCACTGCGACACATGTAATGCCTCTGCAACCGAACACTGCATTGCATGCCGGCATCAAATGCATCAAGATCAAAGTCAGCACACTGGATCGCCCCTGCTGGGCAATGCTATGCCCGGCGGCGGAATAGAGGCCAACCTGGAAGGCGCCCAGTCAACCACCTGGACTGGATATCTCAACGCCACATCACAGCCCTTGAACTGGACTCCGAGCAATGCCGATGGCAATGGTAAGCCATTCGCTGCCCAGAGTAGCATGACGGCGATAAGCAGTGCCGGCCCTGATCCTGCAACAATCGATACATACGGGCACGCTCGAGATTCCGACCTCATTTACACAACAATGGATGGTGACGAGTCCGCTCAGAACCCCTTGGCCCACCCCACGCCTAACGCAGGGAGCTTCACTAAAGAAACTCTCGCTAGTAGCAAGATGGATATTGATCAAGTGAGTATGCCGACCTACCCCAATTTCATGGATTTGTCAGGCGGCGACCTTGATGTTATCGACTGGGACCTTCTCAACAATCAGCTCGACGGTGTCGATGCGCAGACAATTGACTGGGACGAGTTTGAAAAATGCATGGCCCAGTTTACAAGCCAGGGCCCCAGTATTACGAATGGCGATCTCCATGCCCCTCAAGGAGCTCCGCAAAGCACTGGCCCTAGCCCCTTGAGCCCTCAGGCTAGTAATCAGCAACTACTGGTCCCCCAGGCTGACCACGAACAAGCAAACCAGGTACCCACAGAATACCACCTGCAACCACACTCAGCCCCCGTGCCAGGCGCAACCACAACCGCAACCGCAACTGGGACACCAACGCCAACCCAAAGCGCAAGTGCAGCCCCAGTCCCAGCCGCAACTTCCCCACCTGCAGTCGTGGGAAACGCCCCGCTCGCCGCCACGGAATGCGACAAAGCACAGCTCACCCAACAGCTCACCGACGCGTGGAAAGAAATCGAGCGTCTCAGAGCCACAGTCCAGGACCAAGCCGGACGACTGGAGGAGAATGAACGGCACGGTTCCCAGCTGCATAAGCAGTACATTGACAGGCTGGCCGAGTGCAAGAGCGAATTGCTGGCTAAGGAGGTCGAGGCTGAAGGGGCCAAGTGGCGCTGTCTGGAACAGGAGGCCGAGATTGTTCGTTACAAGGACAAGTTGGATTCATGCCAGGCTGAGCTGTTGTCGTGCATGAAGAAGATGCATGCCCGGAAGACCAAGCCAATGGACGCGGGCGGCCTTCAGGACCAGTTTGATGCGTGCAAAAAGGAGTTGAACTCGTGTAAGAAGGAGGCTGAGCTGCTCCGGGTGGAACTGGAGGTTGCGGGGAATAAGATTGCGTACATGGAGAAGCACATTGCTGAGATCACTGCGGCGGCTGGTTCTTTCCCGTAAGCAGCTGGGGTTTCTGTTTCTATTTTTCTTGTCATGCGTCCGCGTTCTTGGGTCTCACTTTTCATCTCTTGTCTTCGACGTTCCTTTGATTCTACTTAGTCAGTCCTTACCGTAATCATGCGACTGAAGTTTTCATTGTCATATGCTTTGACCATCCGCTATATAGTCTCTCCAGATTCTCTAGATTCAATGGTTAGGTCGATTTTATTGATAATATATATACCCTTCATGATTTCCCGCAAATTACCTTTACCCATTGAATTCTACACTTATTTATCTCGGCTTCTACCATGGACCAATTCTAGGGGCCCATTGCCTTCCCTTCTGCTGGAAGTGGGTGCCTGAGGCCACCGGCGGCCTTAGGGCTCTAGTAAAAAAAGGTTATTTTAGCCTAAATAGCCACCCGTAAAACTTTTTATTTATTTTTAAAATATTTAACTTAGTATATTAAGTAATACAAGAGACTTTTATATATAATAATTATTTATTTTTATTAATAAATTATAAGCCTGGGTTTACTTAACTTATATACTTAATTAAAAGTTTTTTTTTTTAAGTTAACTTATATTAATTAAATACATGGCATTTTCTTGTTTTATTATTTAACTTTATTATTTTTAACTTTATTAATTATTATAATAATTAAAAAGCTTTATACTTAGGGCAAGGCCTTTATTACAAGGGTATAAATATTATAGCTTTATTTTTTTTTACCTTAAATTTTTTATTTTTTTTACCTTTTTAATTAACTTTTAATTTTATAAATACCTGCTTTTTAGGGCTATATATATTTAATTTTTTAATAAAAATAAGTTTCCCTTAATAGCTAAAAAGTTTTAAAACCTTTAAAGGTAATATAATATCTTTAGGTTTTTTAATTTAAATTTTAACTTTAACTACTTTTTAAAAATTTAAATTAACCTTTAAATATTTAACTAGCTATCCCTAGTTATTAACTTTTTTTTTATAATTATCCTAGCATAGGCTTTAGCCTATTTAACCTTAACCTTATTATAGTAACTTTTTAGGGCTTATTATTTTTAATTACCTTATATTTTTAATTTTTAAGCGCTTTAATTCCCGGCTTTTAAATTATTTTAATTTTTTTATTATTTAATTTTCCTACACTAAGCCAAGATAAAAAAAATAACCTTAATTAAAGTAAAGAATATACTAGTTTTAATATTAAAAAACTAGTAGGTTAAATAAAATTAATAAGTATTTTTAAAGCTTTAAAAGGCTGGCTATAGTTATTTTTTAAAATAATTAAATTAAAAATATTTTATAAAAACCTTTATTAATTTTTTTTTATTATACTAGCTCTAGCAGGCAAAAATACTAAAATTCTTAACTAATAATTTATTATAAGCTAAGCTAAAAATATAAATAATAATAATAAAGTTTTAGTTATTATTACACCTTTTACTTAGCCTATTATTAAGATTATTATTATTAAGCCTACGCCCCTGGTAAATTATAATAAGGTAAAAATTTAATAATAAAATTAAGACCAGGCCATGGCTTTAATTTTTAGCTATTTAAATTTTAATTTATAAAGCCTTTTTTATTAATAAATAAATAATTTATAAATTACTTAATAAAATTAAAAGCTACCTTAAACTTAATATTAATATTATAATTTTTAAGGCCTAGGCTAACTTAATATTTTTATTTTATAATAAAAGTATTTTTAATCTTAGTAAGAAACTTAGGAAGATTTAGCAGGAATTTACTTATATTAATATTATTTTTTTAATTAAACTTATTATTACTATTTTTTACCAAGCTTTAAATAATTAATTTAATTATTTTAAGGCTATATATTTTAATAACTATGTTATTAAATACCTCCTAGGGGATACTACCATGCTAATTACCTTTTTAAATAACTTTATAATTATTATTAAGTTTACTAAATTAAACTAAAACTAGGGCACTAGTACCCTAGCACTTTTTTTTAGTAAGGTATTTAAGCTTAATATTAAATATTATAAAAATTACTTTAATATTATTTAAATATATAAAAATAAGGATATTATAAATATTATTACATATTATTATTCTTATTATAACACGCTTTTTTATAGCTAAAAAACTTATTATTAACTTTATTTTAAGCTTAAAATTATTTAAAAAAATTTTTAAGGTGGTAAGGGTGCTAAGCACCCCTAAAAAAACTTTAAATTTAGGGAAAATATAAAGCCTATACTTAAGCTAGTACTTATAACTTAAATTAATTTAAATTTTAAGTAAAAAATTATTTAAAATAGTTTTATTTAATAAATTACCTTAAATAATAACTATATATAGTATATTACTTATAATTACTTTTTATTTTAAAATCTTAAGCCCTATACTAGCCCTAGTATTAAAAGTATTAGCCCTAAAGTTTTTAATACCTAAGGTATTAGTATTATTAAAATTTTTTATTATATTAATAATTAATTTAAAATTTTAACTTTAAATAATATTTTATACTCCCTGGACATGTTTTTTATACTAATTTTTATTTTTTAATTACTAAATAAGTGCTGTTTTGTTAGCTTTAGCTAGTAAAATATAAAAGTTAAAAAGCTATAAAATATTAATATTATTATTTTATATAATTATAAATTAGCCTAATATATAGTTATTAAAGTTTATAAAGTATTTTTTTTTTTAATTTTTACTAGGGTTTAGTAATACTAGCTATTTTAATATTAATAGCCTTTATTTTTTAAAATAAATTTTTTTTAACTTTAGTACTAATAAATAAGTTATATTTTTAAAAATTAGCTTAATAAAATAAAAAAAATAGTTCACGGCATGCACATGCTTAAAAACTATATTTATAAATTTTATATTATTATATACTAGTAGGCTAAGCCTTATAAAGGTATTATAATACTTATTAATTAATTATTTAAATTATTTTATATAAATATTTCTAGCTTATATTTACTTTTATTTAATAAAAAGGTATATATTAGCTTTATTATAAATAATAAATTTTATTATTACTAGGTTATAATACTAGCTAGTAAAAATAAATTTACCACCTAGGCTTTTTTTATTATTTATTAATATAATATATTAGAGCTCCTGCTGCGCCGCGTATATTATAATTAAAAAAAATATTTATAACTTATAATACCTTATTTATAGCTTTAAAGCTATTATAAAAACTTTTAATATAAACTAGTATAAATAAAATAATTATATTAAAATACTTATTAATAAGTTACTTAACTTTATATAATTTATATTATATAATACTAGAGCCCTAGCTAATATATAGTTTAAGTTTTATAAAAATATTAATTATTTATATAATTAAACTTTATATTTTATACTAAATAATATTATACTATTTAAAGCCTGGTACAGCCACTAGCTAAATATTTTTTATATTTATATTTTTTAGTTTAAGGTTTATATTCTAAACATACTAAAAAAGTAAAAAAAACTTTATAAGAATAGTAAAATAAGAATTAAAAGGCTAATTAAATTTAATAAAAAAATAAATAAGCTATATTAAGTTTTTTTAGATAATAGCCACGTGGTAATAATATATAATATTAATATTATTAAGAATTACTATATTAGGCTAGATTTTTTACTAAAAGTAATTATTTTAATACTTTTAGGAACCTTTATCCCTAAGGCTTTATTTTTTTTAGGGATTTTTATTTTTAAGGCCTTATTTTTAAGCCTTTTAGGGACCTTTATTCCCAAGGTATTGCCTAAAGCTTTAAACCCTTTAAAAATTTTTATTTTTAAAATACCTAAAGTTTTAGTATTTTTAAAAATTTTTATTTTTAAAAACTTACTAGCTAACACTAACCTAAATATTAAAAAAAACCTTAAAAATAAATTTTTAAAAAGCCTAGCTTTTAGGGACCTTTTTAAGTATATAAATCTTAAAGATTTAATAGTAAAAGCTATTAATTTAGTTACTAAAGTTAATATATTTTTAAAAAACCTAAATTTTAATTATAATACTAGCCTAGTATATTATACACGTGCTTAAGCTATTATAAATTTTAAAAAAGCTTTTTAAATTTTAAATAAGCTAGCCTACCTATTTTATTTTTAAAATATTATTAAAGTTATATAAAATAAGATTACCCTAGCTAATAAATCTTATTTAAATAACCTTTAAATATTAGCTAGTAAGCCTAGCTTAAATAGCATTTTAGTACTAGTTATAATACTTTATAAATAAATTTTTAAAAAAAATAAATTAATAGTTTAGCAAGCTAAGGTTAAAAGTAAATAAAATAAGTAATTTAAAATTATATAAAAAAAATATAATTTTTTAATAAAAAATAAAATTTAAAATCTTATTAACTTACTATTTAAAAAATACTTATTTTTTAGTAAATAGGTTTTAAAAGTTAAAAAAAATTAAAAAGCTAAATTTTTTATTATAAAGCTTGCTAGGTAGTTTATGGCTTTAAGTAAGTTTATAGGCTTAATTATTATAAAACCTTTATTAAGGTAATAAAGCTAATAAGCTATAAGCTACTTTTTATTATTATTATTATATTAAACCTTAAAATTAAATAAATAAATATAAAAATAATATTTTTATATAAAAATATTAATATTATAATTTTTATAAAGCAGCCTTATTTTTTTATTAATAGCTTTAAGTATATTTACTAGCTTTAAAAGGCTTTTTATAATTTAAAATAAGTATTATAAATTTAATACTAATTACTTATAAATTTTTTAGCTATATTAGGCTTTTATTTTATTTATTTAAACTTAAAAGTTTTTACTAATAGCAAGATTTTTATTACCATATATATAAATAATTTTTTATTAATTAATAAAAATAAAATTTAGATTTAAAAAATTAAAAATACCTTAAATAAATATTTTAAAATATTTAATTTTAGACCATGCTACTACTATTTTAGTATAAAGGTTTATTAAAATTAGGTTGATTAAATACTTTAGCTTTTTTAGCTTGGTTATATAAATAAATCTTTTTACTAGTTTAGTATAAATAATTT